TGGCGTCTGTGATCCCCGCGTCCCCCGCCTCCCCGTCCCCAGACGCGGGGCGGCTTCTGCCCGCCAGAGGGCGCCGGCGGGGAGGGGAACGCGCCGACCCACGCGCGGGCACTGGCCCCTCTCCACCCTCTCGCTCACCCCCCACGTGCGCCACCGGTGCATGGGCGTGTCGAGGATTCTGGCCCCGCGTGGAGCCCGCAGACCAGGGAAGTTCAGTCGGGACTTGCCCCCCACGTTCACGGAGGCTTAAGTGGGCGAAGGGCGCGAGGGGGAGTAGGGCAGACAGAGTTTGCCATGGATCCTTTCCTCCAAATTTGGAAGCTGCGGCCAGCCTGCCATTCAAAGCCCCCCAGATAGCTCTGCCCTCGACCGCAGGGTGGGTGGGAGAATAGAGTGGGGACCCTTTCTCACAGTCCCGCGTGTGCATACACTCCCCCTCCAAGTTTGTCCGCTTGCTCTGACCCTACAGGGACTGATCAGCTAGGCCCCCAATCCCACCCCAGGAACAGCAGGGACTGCCCGGCCCAGAACCACCCTCTGTGAGCCACCAAACCCTTGGGGACCCCTCCAGAATCAGAAAAAGCCTGTCCCAGAGAGGCAGGAAAATGATCCTGGGCAGGCCCTCGGCCATTGTGCAGCTGGACTAGGAGGGTTCCCCGCCCCCAAGCAACACCCCTCCCTCTGCCAGCCCCTCCCATCTTGGCTAGTGGAGGGGCCCCCCCACCTCCTATCTAAGCCCCGATCCTGCTGTGGGGCCTGGCACCTGGGTAGGAGGGTGGGCCTGCAGTTGGGAACAGGAGGGCCATTCATCCTAAGGCAGTGGGCAGCCTCAGGGCTCCCAGCTCTCCAGGTCACCTCCCCAGTCGTGGCTCCCAGAATGCCTTCTCCCTGGTTGCAGCCACAGTAATCCTGACCTCTGGGCTGAGTCCCACCCAGCCTCCATCACTGGTCCACTTTAGCTCAGCCCCCACCCAGACAGGCTAGCATACAACAGAGAGTTCTGGCCTGGGCCTCAGACTAAAAAGCCTCACCTCTCCTCATCCTGGTGCTAAGCAGACCTTGTTGGGCTCAGAAGTCCTCAGTTTCCCTAGTGGGAAGATTCTGAGGAAGGTTCAGGTTAGGAGAGCAGAATCCCAATCCCAGTTCTTACTCTGTTTGCCTCATCATCGAACTAGGCCCAATCAGGACCTGTATATTCCTGGGGGTGGGGGGAGTAGGGAGGTGGGGGGGACTCTTAAAGGAAGGGCCCTGCCACCCCCCTTCCTCTGGTCCCTTAGGCACAACAAATATTCCTCAGGGCTTCCTGAGCCGGCTGACACAGCTGCGCCCACCTCCTCCTGAGTAAGACTCTCCAGGCATTTCCATTCTTAGAATCACCAGTCAGCTCTGAAAGTAGCAGCCCAGAGTTAACAGAGCCAACGGAGCCCTAGTCACTGCCTGAGAGGAGGTAGGGGACACAGAAGGCCAACACAGCCCCCAACCCCCTGCAATAAAGAGGCCTGAATAAGTTTTGGGTCAATAATAGCATAGGGTCCAGTGAAGCTATTGTGTGCTTCTGGCTCCTCTCAAACCCATTGGGGTTTACCTCAAATACCTGGACCCCTGACCTTTGTTCCTGAGGCTCCCTCCCTTGGCCTTAGCTGGTGCCCTCTTCTGCTGAGCCAGGGCAGAAGGCTGGCTCTTAGCTGATCTCAAAGGATGGAGACTCAGATCTATAGGTGCTCATACTTCAGCAAAAGAATCTGGTTGGTGCTGAGTAGCAGGTGTCCTAGCCAGGTGACTCAGTGCCCTTAGGCCAGGCCTGGAGCTCCCAAAGGCATAGCAGAAGCCAAGGGGGCTGGTCCTGCTACCTCTAGCTCTTTCTCTCTCCCTCAAACAATAGCCTTGCTGGTGAGCGAGGCTGCATCTCAGGCTATGATGGGAAGGCAGCTCTCTACCCAGGCTCCCAGGGGAGCCCCTCCCAGCAAGCCTCATCAGTACTGGGTGGGGCTCAGCCCTGCCAGGAGATAGCGCCTGGCAGCCAGTGACTCTCCAACTCAACTCACCCCACCTGTCAACTGCTTCTTGCCCTGCCCACTGCAACCTGGATTAGGACTCTTAAGGGTCCCACCCTGCATCCAGGCCCTGTGTGAATGAACCCCATTCTTAATGGGCACTACCAAAGCCATGGATGGTGCAGGATTTAGATTCCTTTTTCCTACTCCAAATGTGGCTGAGCTCAAGGCACAGAGGCCACCGGCAGGGCAACCTATCAGTCCCCAGTCTGTCTGGGTACCCACCCTGTCTCCTTCTTAAGTCTCACAGCTAGCTTTGACCCCAAGTCACTGGGTTTTGCCTAGGCCAGCCTCCCACTAGCTTCGGTATTCCCAGAAGGCAGGGACCAGGACAACACCCTTTAAGCCCCAAGTCTATGTGTACCCATGGGGTCCAAAGATGGGTTCTGGGGCCTGTGATGACTCAGAATAGGTAGGCCCGGGAAGAGGCTGTTCACAGACTACAGTATATGGATTTTTAGTGTGGAGAGGGGGGTATAAAGGTGCAAGGGCATAAAATGGGGGTGACTAGATGCTCCCCAGAATTGCTCAGGAACTATGTACCGGCTGGTGGACCCAGAGGCCCCCCTCCTCAGCTCATGGTCTGCGGTGACCATACCGTACCCAAGACCCCCCCAGCACATGGCCTACAGGCCAAGTGGTCAGCAAAGAGATGCTGACGCTGGACCAGCAGGAGAGGGGCACTCAATCCATCCTCCCATCCTCCCATCCCAGGGAGCGGCACAGGCCCTTCCACTCCCGCTGTGAGGGTCAAGGGGTCAGGCGTGGCTCCCACTCTCCCTTCCGCAGCCCCCACTGCCCTAACAGACAATCGATTATTGGGACGAGGTTGGAAGAGGGCCGGCGGGGGCGGGGTCGCCGCGTCTGGGCGCCCGCGGCAACGGTGCCACAATGGGTGACAGGCAGTCAGGGTACCCAGACGCTGGGAGTGGCGGAGCGCACCTACCTGCTTGTCCTCTGCGGAGTCGGGGTCGTGATCGGGACCAGGTCCGCGTCCGGGCGGGTCCGCGTCCGGGCGGGCGGGTGGGGGAGAGACGGAGAGACACGGTGAGGGATGGGCGGGCGGCAGGGACAAAGGCGCGCGCGGGCACGCGGGCGGGCGCCGGGCTCACCTGGGGTCGCCAGCTTGCTCTTGTACCGCAGTCCTGTGCTCATGGTGGCCGCCGGCCGGGG